TTGGGGGGGGGGGGGAACTCATTCGTTGTCGATCATAATTTGTGAAATTTAGCAATTTTGGAAAATCCTAGTTAAAATAAAATTGATGTTAAATTAAATTAAACTAATTGTTACAAAAATCAAGTAATAATTCTAGTTAAAATCCCTCTTACACCATGGGTTTGTGTTTTGCCTTGCGGTGATGCTCGGGGAAAAATTGGATGCATTATGTGATAAAAATAATGGCTGAATATCCGAAAATTCTGAATATAAATACTAACAGAATCAGATAGATCAAACAATATGTAACTTTAATCAATACAATTCTAATTTAAAATTAGTTAGATATATTTAAAAAAATGAAATTAGTCAAATCAAACCCAATAGAAAAATGATTTGAATAATCAAATAAAGTTGAAAAAATGTTTTATTTAAAAAATATTTTTTTATAACTATTTTTTTAAAATATATAACATTGTTTTAAAAACTCAAATAGTCAAATTCTAGAATAGGCAAACTGAAATAATGCTATTGTGACATTTTTAATTACAATTAAAAGTATAAATATTGAATTAGGAACTATAGGGATAGAAATGAAATTAGGGGATGTTATGGGGACTAAAGTCAAAATAGCCAAAAGTAACGCGGGCCGTTGATGAAAAATCCATTTTGCGCAATCCCCATCGATTCTACGGATTTTGAAGCTCTGCGTCCGTAGACTCGAGCTTCGAGAGGTACATCTCTCTCCATCTCCTCCTCCTGGGCTTCAACAAATCTTAGATTTTTTTTCCTGGTTTGTGTTTTTTTGTTCATGTTGTTTTTCCAAGTCCGCACCTCTCGCCATTTGTTTGTATCATCCTTCTATGATTTCTGTTTTTTTTTTCATTTTACGTTATTTTCTGTGTCGACGATGCGATTTTCGTATTTGGGAGTTCTTAAAACCTTCGATTTTGGTCGACCAGACATTTTTTTCCAATGATTTGCCTTGTTGGGGATGTCTTCCGTGGTGCATTGTCTGAACGAGCGTAAGGGCTTCTTAGATGATTAACACATTCCTGGGTTTGTGCTTCGTGTTGGGTCTCGAGTTTCGTGATGTTGTGAGTTTTCTTCGGCGAATAGTGCCTTCCTGTTAGAATGAACTTCCCATGGAATTTGATGTTTCCTTTTCCCATTTCATTGATGGGCGTTTGAACAATCAACAATGCGCTATTGAATTTGATTAATATGCTGGGACTTCCATATTAGATTTAGATGCTGAGAAAGGATATCATCCAGCTTGATCTAATTCTTGAGGAATGTGATATGAAAGATGAATTCTTCGCATTGCAGAGGTTTTGTGTATTCTTGAAATTCTTCTACTGAGTTGTTGCTGGGCATCGCTTGTGATTCAGTATGAGTTTTCCCGGTGCTTCTGTTGGTTCAAGTTAGTATCTCTCTCCTTTCACTGTGCTGACTCTGCACTTCCACGTATATTTGTGAGAAATCTCCGAGTTTGTTCATGGATTTTCAATTAAAATTTATGGATATTCGAGTTGCAAGGAAGTATGATCTTTTTGTGGTATGAAATCCAGGTTTCCCTTTCTCTCTTTTCATTGATTTATTGCAACATCGTTTCAGGCAGGGCTGTAGGAAGAGTGGTTGAGTTTGGGAAAACTCATGTTATTCGGCCAAAAGGTAAACATCAGGCAACTATAGTTTGGCTTCATGGGCTTGGGGATAACGGCTTGAGGTAATTCTTGTCTGCTTGAAGTTGTGTTTCGGTTTGAGTTTAGTTGATATGGTTTATTACATCAATCTTCTCTGTCTATTGCAGCTGGTCACAGCTTTTGGAGACCCTCCCCCTTCCCAATGTGAGTAGAAATGCTCCAAATGTTTCAGTGTCACCTGACCACAGCTGCCTCTTTCTCATGAAACACGTTTCTTAGTTATCACAGGCATGATGGTATGCGTTACTTTTATCATTCTAACCTATAGTTTGTATTTTAAAATGTAGATCAAATGGATATGTCCTACTGCGCCATCTCGACCAGTAAGCTTGTTTGGTGGTTTTCCCTCCACTGCTTGTAAGTATATTTACCGTATGGAGTTCCCCTTTCACTTCAGTATTGATAAAAAAAAAAACATAATTGTGAAGGCCGATAGGCAGTTAAGTTATGGAGAATGTCAGGTAAACGTATCTAGTTTATGAAAAGAACTAATGTGTCATGTGCCAGTTAACCAGTGATTCAGGCTAATTTTCAGCACTAGGTTTTCTTGATAGTTTACTTCTTTTTTGGTTGGGTAATGCATCCTTGCGTTTCTTTGTATACATTTGCATTGGCCTTGCTCATGAACACCAGTGGCTTTGACCGTTTTAGCTGAGAGACTAAAACTGATGAGTTGCTTCTGAATCTTATTTAGGGTTTGATGTTGTGGACCTCAATGAAGATGCTCCTGATGATACGGAGGGCATGGATGTTACTGCTGCACATGTTGCAAATTTGTTATCCAACGAGCCTGCTGACAGTAAGTTTCCTTTTAATGACGATTTCTTCCATATAACACTTTCTGCGAGTTGAGCTATTCAAAATCCTGGTCATTTAAAATGTGACTATATGCACATTGATTAGAATTTGTACCAAATTTGATTTATAGTGCTTTATGTCAGCCGAATAGAAAAAGTTCAAACCTTGATTTATAGTGCAGCAGTGCTTCATTTGGAACCCTCTGCCTACTTTTGTCAAGAATTGTGGCCATTCACCCAACTTTTTTTCTATATCTAAAACTGCATCTTTTCTTGTGCTTTAAAGTTAAATTGGGTATTGGAGGATTCAGTATGGGAGCTGCAACATCTCTTCATTCTGCAACTTGTTTTACTCTTGGTAAATATGGAAATGGCAACCCGTACCCTATCAATTTAAGTGCAGCCGTAGGCCTAAGTGGCTGGCTTCCTTCTGCAAAGTTTGGTTCCCTCTTTCTCCTTCTATGTTTCCTTCTTATGTTAATCACTTTTTAAAGCTTTTCTTATGATACTTTTGTCATTGTAGCATCAAAACTTACCCTTTGTTTCTCTTTACCAGAACATTGGGTGGCAAGCTAGTCGAGGAAGCGGCCAAGAATCGAGCTTCATCCTTGCCCATTTTACTTTGTCATGGAAAAGGTAATTATCAAATTATCCTACCGATTATCAGTAGTGTTTTTCTCAGTTTATTTGATCTTTTAGGCCATTTAGTCACACTTGTTCTATGGTCTTTGCTTTTGTCGTGTTCTCCTAAAAATGGTACATCAGCTCTCAGTTACTCGTACTGAAATAGCGTTCATATCGTCTTTCCAGCTATTTACCTTGAAGGTTAACTGTGAGGCTACATTTTCCGAGTTTTCTTTCCTTCTTGTTTGTTCTACGGGGAAAAATGATTAATTTGTAACTTTGTTTCAGGTGATGACGTGGTACCGTTCAAGTTTGGTGAGAAATCTACTCAAGCCTTGATCGCTCACGGGTTTAAGAACTTGACGTTTAAACCATACAGGGAGTACGTGATGAACATGCCTTTCTTTTGTCATGTTCTGTTCCATGTCATAAACAGTATATAGACACCGAACAGAGAGAGTAAATAGGGATCTCTCTTTAATGCATAAGTGACTGGTCGTAGGCCTTAATTCCAAGTTTCAACATCCTAATGCATGCATATATTTGGGTGTAGATAAATAGGGAGTATAACATCTTTGGTAATTCAAATCTAGATGAATGTTTAGATAGAGGCTATGAACAAAGACCTGGAGCACAAGGAATAAAGCTTCGAAAGTAACTTAGATTGCAAGTAACCATGAGGAAATTGTATTTGGATCAAGCTAGATGATTGGCAAATCAATCAAGATAAGATTGTCTATCCATCCAGTTTCATCCCAGCACAATTTACTCGTGGTTACCTGCAATGCAAGTTACTTCTGAAGCTTTATCTGTCGAGCCTTGTTCCTTGTGCTCCAAGTCTTTGTTCATAGCCTCTATCTCAACGACGAGATCCATCAATGTTGAGTTTCCGCGTCCGATGAAATCTCTGGAGTTTAGAGATCAGAGTGTCTTATACTCTTAACCTCTCGATGATCATTTTGCAGGCTTGGTCACTACACAACCCCGCAAGAGATGAACGATTTATGCGCTTGGTTGACATTAACCCTCGGGCTCGAGGGCTGAATTTGCTCGGACGGAATGAGGTAAGTATCCGTACTTTCGAAAGCTTACCGGCTTTTCCCCCGCATGCTTCTCAGAGGTACAATATAATCGGGCATAGGTTGGGGTTTCCACTGTTCTTGCTTCTGTGGAAAAACTAAGTTAAAAAAGACAGTTTGGTCTTGCCGTCGACAAAGCAGCACAACAAAAAATCACAAGACTTTTCTTTTCGGGTATTTTAGATTTTGATTACAAGTGATATTCCGATTGTCCGTTTGTAAAACAAAAGCCATTTGAATCGAATTATCAAATTCGATCAAAAATATTTATTGGTTATGATCTTTCTAAAACCAATTGAATTTTAAAAATAATTCAAAAATTTGAATAAAAACAAAAACATTTTTGGATAATGAATATATTTTTTTTACAGAAAATTTGAAATCAAATCCAAAGTTAATCAATAACTGAATGGATATGGCTTTTGCAGAGAAGTCGAAATAATTAAACAAATCGACGTCTAAAATATCTACATTAATAGGGTCCGTAAAAAATATTCAAATTTTGGGTATTTTCATATTCAAGGTAATGGATTTAAAAATGGGAAAAATCTTTAAAAAAAAATTCAAGTTTTCAATTTTGACAAAAAAATATGAATTTTTTATTTGATCAAATAAACATTAAAAATTTTAAATAAATATAAAAAATATTAAATTTTTAAAGTGATCCATAAAATATATAAAATTTTCTATGATTATAAAAAATTACTGAATTTTTTTAATAATCTAAAAAAATATATAAATTTTCTACGATTATAAAAAAAAAATTAAGTAAAATAATCTGATTTGTTTTGTTTATTTTGATAATAGTAGAAGAGTTATTTGATAAAATAAAAACTTAAAATTGAAAAATTATGTGTTTTTTTTAAATGCATTGCAAACTTTAAACCCAAACAATTAAGATTCATTATTAGATTTCTCAATAAACAGAGAAATTCTTGGATGCCTGTTCAATTCCACAATAAACATATCAACCAACATTAACTTGACACGTCTCGTCTGCTTTCATATTTCTCTCTCTCGATCCAACTATCTCAGGGATTGGGCGGCAAATTTGACACGTGTCGTTACTGTGTTTCTCCACGTCATCATCGTCTCTCGCCCTCTCACCGTGCCTGCAAAATGATCAGATGGGTGTGTGATCAACACAGAAATGCTCACACTCTCTCTCGTCTCCAATTCCCGAACCCTTAATTTCACCGGACGAAGATCTCTTTTTGCTCTCACCATGTCGATGAATCTACGGTCTCATGCTTTTGCCGGTAACCCATTAAGGTTAAGAACCCCGAAACCTACCGACCCATTTTCTCCAACCTCCGCTATCGAATCCCTCAAAGCCCTAATCACCGAAATCCCCAATCACAACAGTTCGCCATCTCCGGATTTCAAGGTCTTGCCGTTTATGAACGGTCGTCCCCTGGTGTTCTCGAGCGGCGGAGAGGGTAATAATACGACGCCGAGTTGGCATCTGGGTTGGGTCAGCTTCGCGGATTGTAAGGGGTTGTGGGCGAGTTGTCGGGTCAAGCTGAGTGAGAACTCGTTTTTGTATCTTGGGTCGAAGAAGGAGGAAGATTTGGTGTTTTGGGCTGTTGATGTGTCGGAGGAAAGTGGTTTGGTTGATGAATTCGGGAGTAGGAAACTCTATTTCATCGAGCTTCGGACGTTAATGGTGGCTGCGGATTGGGCGGATGAACGCGCCATGAGTGATTTGGCCATTGCCGGTCATGTACGTAAGCTTCTTAAATGGTTTCATCTTAACCACGTTTCTTAAACTTTATCTAATTAACTGGGTTCTGTCTATTGACAAGAATGATTTAGTCTGTGTTGCATAGTTAGGGACGAGTTTCTAGTACCATTGATCTCTGCTCTTGTGTCCTGTACGGTTAGTGTGTTAGTGACAAGTTTAAATCCATGTCAGAGCGTATAGATTTGGAACATTCAGTTTCTTGTACCATTAATCTCTGTTCCTGTGTCTTTTGCTCAGAGTTAAGGTTGCATGGTTGGTTAGTGACAACAAGTCCCTCCGGTTCAGATCCAATTTGAAGCCATTCGATGTAGAAATTTGTAGTATTTAGTTTTTGGCTGTTGTGTTTGCTATTTGTTTATGACTTCTACGACTTTGAGGTGATTATGCTTTTGCACATTACAGAATAGTTTTTGTGGACTACTCACTATTATGGTGGGGATTCCATATTTTCAGTGCAAAAATATCTCTATAATGTCTGGACAGAATTGCAAATATATGATATCTAAAAATGTTGTAGAATTTAAAAAGTTAGATATCATGCCATTTATTATGGAGCATGATCCTATGACTTAACTGTGTTATCTACATACAGGCCAGGGCATTGCTTGAGTGGCATAATGTATCTCAGTTTTGTGGGCATTGTGGAAGTAGTACTGTTCCGACAGAAGCTGGAAGAAGAAAACAATGTTCAAATGAGACATGCAAGAAAAGGGTTTATCCCCGTCTTGACCCGGTATATTGCTGCCTCCCGTTTTTTTTTTTTACGTAGTAGATGTAGATGAAGTTGCACTACTAGCTGATGACTGTTCTTAATTCTTTGCAGGTTGTTATAATGTTAGTTATTGACAAAGAAAACGACCGGGCACTTTTAAGCAGGCAGTCTAGATTTGTACCGAGAATGTGGAGTTGCTTAGCCGGATTTATTGAGGTTTGTGTACCTCACTCCCAAATCATCTCATCTTATAGTAGGATTTGAATTTATGTATATACCGTTCTTTTCAACTATTTCCCTCTAAAAGAACCTCACTATGATGAGTTCTGAAAAGTTCAAACCTTCTTAGTATTTTCTATCGGTTTTCTGCGTGTAGTTCTACCGGGTTTCATATGTAAGTTCTGTATTGCGTTGTCTATGCTGTTTCTGCTAGCCAGGGGAAAGCTTAGAAGAGGCTGTAAGGCGGGAAACATGGGAAGAGACCGGTATTGAAGTAGGAGAAGTTGTCTATCACAGCTCTCAGCCTTGGCCTGGTTAGTATTGCATTGCATGATCTAAATAGAGAGATTATTTCTGGTTTAAGCAATGATCGTTTTCTGGTTAGGTCTTAAGTTGGGCTTGTGACTTGTGACACTTTTATTTCGTGTTACCTCGTTCATCGATATGTTTCGGTCCATAGTGTTCATTTATTAGAAAACTCAATCTTGTATCAGAAAGTAGCAATATCTCCATAGTGTTCATTTGCACCATGGAAGCTTTTATTCGAAGTTCGAGGACTTCATCATGTTTAAACATACTTCTTTGGATTTTCCCGTTTCTTGATTTTCAGACTGTAGTTTACGTTTTTCTCATGATGGTTTGTCTGTTATAATCTCGGCCCGGATACCAAACTAATTGACACCGTAAACGAATGTCTCATATTGGTTCAATCACGTGGAATATACATGTTTTGTTCATTTTTTAGAAGGTTTATGAACATAGATATACCTATTGTTTTACATGTTTTAACTGTCGAGCCATTGCAGTCGGACCGAGCAGCATGCCGTGCCAATTGATGCTAGGATTCTTCGCTTTCGCCAAAACCACCGAGATAAACGTCGACAAGGATGAGTTAGAAGGTAACGTAAACTTTACCGGTTTCGTGAACTCGCTAATATCGGGAAATTAAGCATATGATTCTTTGAAACTCTCAAGATGCCGAATGGCACAGCAGAGAAGACGTGAGGAAAGCCTTGACGTTCGCGGAATACAGGAAGGCTCAAAGAACGGCGTCGGAGAAAATAGAGCAAATATGCAAAGGGGTCGAGAGAGGTAAGAATCTATCCACCGATTTCAACGTGGAGAGCGGAGAGCTCGCCCCGATGTTTATCCCGGGGCCGTTCGCTATCGCCCACCACCTGATCTCGACTTGGGTAGAACACGGGTCGGATTCAAGGTTCGGTAGGAACTGAACCCAACTTAGTTTTCTTTTCAAGACTGTAGCTTCAATATCATTGACATCGAATTTGAAGCCATGGATTTGGAATGCGAGGTTGAATCGGATTTTAGATGCATATTTTCTTGATTATTTTGTTTGGGTCATTGTTTATACATGTGCTTGTGTTGCATAAAACATATTGTGTTCTCCACAAGTCTGAATGGATTTGTTTCTTGGATCACTTGGAGTTGGAGGTGACGCAGCAAAAGTTGTCTTTTTTTTGTTTGAATATTTTTTTCGGGTTTTTAGTTTTTTTTTTATATATTTGATTCGGTTCTGATTCGTTTTATTTTATAAAAATTATATTCATTCGATTATTATATCCTATATTATTTATAACTTGGATCGATTTGGTTTCCTTTTCATAATTAAATTGAATGCCCCCCCCCTTTTTGACCGAATGATCTTGTTCGTAACCGGAACGGGGATTAAACCAATAACCATATAGGGTAGTGGGTACGGATTAAACCGAAGTAAACCCCGTTAATCCGATAACCAATATAAAGTGCAGATACAACCGAAGCAAACCAAAACAAATGGGGACTGAAAATTAAAGAAATAAAAATTGTTTTGCATCTTCCATTTACCGGTAAAAATTTGGTCATTTTGATGAAAACCGGACTGAATTCACTGAAATTGAAAATACATTAATGGAAAATTACATTTTAACATGTAAAAAAAAAATCGTGTATATACATGTATATTAGCCGACCAAAACCATATATAACGCCTTTATTATTTACGGTTGAATTCCACGATACTTCCCGTACACGCTTTCGCACCTTATCCCAGCTCAGATCTCTCCAAAACCCTCTCTTCTCCTGCAGCTATTATTCTCCCTTCTTCTCCGACGAGATTCAGACAATGGCTACAACCTTTTTCCGGAGACTCGCCAAGTCCGCTCCGACCACATTCTCCCGTGCCTCCCGATTCCACGGGGACTCAGGTTTCGGCACGTTCCGCTTCCCGGTCGGCGCGATTGCCGCTCTTTCCGGCGGACTCTCGTACTATTATTCCTCCTCCGACAACAATCTGGTGAGGTTCTTTTTCATTGTCTCGTTTTCTTTTATCTATGGGTTTTCGGAAGTTGTTTCATTTCTACCCAAGCCGGTTTCGATCGCTTTCATCTGGGCATTTTCGCCCAATGGATTCTTCTTGGGTGGTATTCTCTGGGTCAAGCGGGTTTAGATGTTTGTTTGTGTGCTGTTGTTCTTTTCTCAGTTAATCTTGACATATTAGTTGATTTTCGTGTTGTGATTCCAGGTTTATCTGGATCAAGAAAAGGAAGAGACAGGACCGAAAACTGGTGAACTGTTTATTTTGTTTCTGTCTGAAACTTTTACAACATTGCTGATCTAATCAAATTCTCGATGGTTTGCCACGAAAAATGAAGTTCTTGATGGTTTTGCTGATTTAGCTCTTCCTCTAACAAGCGAGTTTCGGATAATTTTCGTTTCTCCAATTTTCGGTTGGTTGTGGGAGGGAAGATGGGTTGAGAACTTGATATAAGCTTGCGGTGGATGTTCCTCGTTCCTTCATCATAACTTGTTGTATCATGCTATATGCTGTCAGCTCTAAAGCCTGATAAATGGAATGAATTTAAGCTTCAAGACACTGCTAGAGTTAGCCACAACACCCAATTGTTCAGGTATGCACTTGATTAATCATTGTTTCACGAAAGTTTGTCCACAAACATACTCCCGCCTTCTGTGTGTTCGCTCGATTAATTGCAAACTGTATTATCCTAGTAGTGACTTTGTGGGCATTTGAGCAGCATTGGTGTAGTTGAGTTTTCTTTGTAGTTAAGGTCAATGTGGTTGAGTTTGTTTGACCTTCTGTACATTATGTTAAATGTTTCATAGGGGTTACGCACCATGCTGCTAACATGATTCGGGTCGTTGATATAAATGTCCGAACCGTATGTTACTGTCACTGAAAGCTTCTTAAGTTGGCATAGAACTATTTCAGTAGTAATTTCAGCTTGTAACTCTGATTTTGTAAATCATAGAGTTCATGGTGATAACCTTCTCCTTTGTCGATCATGCCTTGAAATGATAGGTTCTCATTTGATCCGTCAGCCAAGTTGGGTCTAGAGGTTGCTTCTTGTATCGTGACAAGGTAGGTAGTTTTCTTCACAATTCCACTTTACTGTAAGATTGATGTAATTTGGAACGTATGGGGAAATGACTTCACCAGGGTGGTAATATCTTATATACTCCTGTTTCTTTTTGCAGGGCTCCTGTAGGCTATGACTCTGAAGGGAAACCAAAATATGTCATAAGACCGTAAGTCAGCTGAAAAGTTCTCATCGACTTTGTGTTTTGTTTTATGTATGACCATGCATGAGGTTCACATAGCAAACTAGAATAGTGCTCAGGGTTTTATTCTCCTCGATTATGTATCTAGGAATGGGGGTCAGGGATTATATGAAACCACATCTTAAACTGGCAAAAATATGTTCTGATATTTACGCTTTTAACCTTAGTCTTCTCATTCTTCTGGCCCTTTTCTGGCTTCATGATTTCTCTTTTTCTTTTGTCTGGGAGACCAAATGTTACCTTATGCTCTTCTGAGTAACTCTATGTATGGATGGGTTACTGTTCCTGTAATCCGTTGTGACTGAAAGCTTAAGTTTCATTTCTTCCGAATACGTAGTTGATTTTGCAAGGCAGTATCACTTATACATCAAGGTATACATTATCGTTTATTTTTATAGTTCCTACTTTTATAACTCGCCTCAATTTCATGGAAATTTGTTGACTGCAGATTAAGTTTATTCTTTCTCATATGATTTTCTTCGATTAGTATGAACTGGGTTTCAGGTTTAGCTATTCATCGTCAGTCTTCCGAGTCCTCACTGACATTTTTTCGAAAACAATAATTTTATTATTGGTTTATAGTTAGGTTATCTCTGCAAGTCTTTAAGCGTCCTTACTTTTCCAATATTTTTAAATTTCAGCTACACTCCAATATCTGACCCAGAGGCTAAGGGATATTTTGATTTACTGATCAAGGTATGAACTATGAAGTGGGTTTGTGTTCATGTATTTTTCTCTTTTGTTTGCTCTTAAAATCTAGCAAAGATATAAATATTCCATCATTTGTTGCTAAATTCTTATTTCATAAATTCCATTCCCTTTTACAGGTATATCCAGAAGGGAAAATGAGTCAGCATTTTGCCAGCTTAAAACCAGGGGATGTAGTTGAAGTTAAAGGGTAGACCATTTATGTTGTACAGACATATTTTCTTTAATCTTGATTTCTTAATTACGGTTCATAATAATTTATTAACTATATATGGTGTTTAACTATTAGTTTTCTGTTTTTTCTCCTGTAGACCCATTGAAAAGTTCAAGTACTCGCCTAATATGAAGAGAAATATTGGCATGGTAAACGCTTGCTACCTTATTATAAATGAATTGATATAAGTTTTATGCCTTGATACAGTTTCTTCTTTTTATACAAAAGTCTCAAGTTTGAAATGAATAATGCACTAGGATTTAGAATTTGTAAATTACATCTATATTAAGGTTTGTCTTAAGGCCAAGATGGCAATACCTTAGTTTGCGTCATCTATCCGACTTTGTTTTGCTTATTTATAGCTCTTAAATGTTTTGTTTTCCCCCTGTTTGGCTCTTGAAATCTCTATATCTCCTGCATAGAAGTAGCATGAATTGCTGGAACTGTAGTTATATCCTAGCTTATGTTTTTTACAAGTGAAGCCATTTCTGATATTTGATTTTGTGTTGGCCTTCACTCTATACAAAAAAAATGTAGATTGCTGGTGGAACTGGAATTACTCCCATGCTTCAGGTGATTGAAGCAATTCTGAAGAATCCGGAGGACAAAACTCAGGTTATCCTCTGTTCATATATCATCTCATCCAAAACATTTTCTGTGCTATATTATATCCTACATTGAAGTTTATTGTCCATAATGAACCCGCGTATTGTCGTTGCACATGTCATTCTTTGTCATTTTTCATGCACATACTAAATCAAATAATGAAATTCAAAACCAACCGGGAATACATAAGAGATGTACTGATTATGTAGCTATAACTTCTAGTCCTATGGTATGCACAGATATCATTGCTTTATGGCAACGTTTCTCCGGATGATATACTTCTCAAGCAGAAGCTTGATGCACTTCAAGCTAAACACCCAAATTTGAAGGTAGAATCCTTTTAGTAGTAATCAATCAATTGCTTTATACCAACGACATTGACGTTTATTTTTTTCTTTTGTGTTGTCAACAAATCCTGCAGGTGTATTATACCGTCGACAACCCAACTAAAAGCTGGAAAGGAGGTGTGGGTTACATTTCAAAGGATATGGCTCTGAAAGGTTTACCCCCTCCTGGGGACGATACTTTTATTCTTGTAAGTCATAACCCTTTGCTTTCTTCAGAACCTTAACCATATCTTGTAATCTGAAAATGATTCCTTGGCCTTTTGGCTTTTTCCATGATTCTTTTGAACCTGCCATATCATTTTTACAAGAAATTTCTCCAGAACTTGTGCTATCTGAAGTAAAAAAAAACTACCATATTTCAAGTTACTGGCTTTGTATTTTAAGCAGGAATTTAAAATCGGTTCTAGTTATGTGGTATGTAATGTAATGACACTGAAACGTTTACTTAGATTTATCTTAGTAATGGACATGATTGAGTTCAAAAATCAAGAACTCAAACCCTTTCCTCATCTCTGTGTTTCTTGTCAGTTGATTAGCAACTGGGCATCTGACAATCAAATCAATAGATTAAAGACCTGAGGTTGCTTTATTTCTCAATACATGTATTTTTCTGGTAATAATTTAGGTATGTGGTCCTCCTGGGATGATGGAGCATATTTCTGGAGGTAAAGCTCCAGACTGGTCACAAGGGGAGGTGAGTACCAATCACCAATACAGCAAATATCTTTTCTTCGGTCAGGTGTATAGATTTTGCATGCAGTAAATTTCGTGTGGTGTTAGGGTTAAGCCTAAAAGAGACTGAAAACTGAAAAATGGTTGTTCGACTGAAAGTATGGAACTGAAAAATCCCTCTGCAGGGGTCAATGAGAGCACGTTTTTCGGTTTCCTTATAACATGACAGTTCTTTCGGTAAATTCTGGGGAAAAATATGAAGCAGAGAGATCGCAATCTTCATTGTCTGGTTTTGGATTCTTAGTGAAACGCCTTAGAACTGTTTCATAATATATCAGTGGCATCAGAAGTGGAAAGAAACAACCTCTGGTTTTGGAACATTTACTCAAAAGGCTGATCAACTGGTGAAATCTTCATGTCTGGTTTTTCTGAACAAAGGTCAAGGGCATACTCAAGGAGCTTGGATACACAGAGCAAATGGTTTTCAAATTCTGAGGAAAAAGCTTGGAGAAGAATCTCATAGTTTTATGCTTCCAAGAAGATTCATGTAATAAAATTCTAAGGAACAACATGGGCATGAGCTCGATCCGACCTACCAAACTCCATGAATAAACGGATTTAATCATACGGATATATCCTCGGGTCATCGATCTACAGGTAATACTCGTTTTCTTATGCTGATTTCGGGACGAAAAAACTTGAGGCTACTCGAATTTTGTGTAGAGTTGAATAAACACATTCAGAAAGATTCTGCATTGTCTTCAATGTTTCAATGTGCAAATTCTCCATATAGAAGGGAGAATGATCCAGGGTTGGTTTGGTTTGGTTCGGTTTTGTTCTCATAACCGATTGAAATGGTTACACATCCTAAATCAAAACAGTTAATGATCTATTTTTAGTTTTGGTATCCAATGTTACTAAGAATTAATTAGCAGTATTTGTTAATTTATGATATATTTTATTTTGGTAAAATGATTAAGGTATGTTTGTTACATGTGTGTGTATTGTACATATAAAATGTCTTAAAGTACGTGATAAAAATTCTCACGAACTTTAGTTAATCGTTTAAATACATGAACCATTTAAATTTTAATTAAAATACGTAAATTTTTGTCGTGAAAAGTTTATTCCATTCAAGACCTAAAAATTATGTTTTTTTTTTAATAATTCAAGATTTTTAGGTTTTTACATTTTATTATTATCCAAAACTATTCATTCATCTCCGAAGAATTCAACAGTGTGGCAGTCAAACTGTTAAAAATAACTGTCTTCCTTGTTTGTCGTTGCCTCACTTTGACAGTTATCAGCGTATCACAGAGGAAAATATAAAGATTTATCAATTATTATTATTATTATTATTATTATTATTATTATTATTATTATTATTATTATTAAAAAAGAATTTGATACCAAAATAACCATTATGTTCCCCATTCTCCACAAAAATCAAAGTATAGGAAATCTTCTTTTTCCTTTTCCAAAATATTTGTATTCTCTTCCAAATTTTATAGCAAATCTTTATGTTTTTTCCTTTTTTTTTTCTCCCATTTATTTCTCCTTCCTCCCAGTCCCATAACACCCCAAAAAAAAAAAACAGGGAGACGACCACAATGGCGTTGCAGAGGTCGACGACGTCGTTTCGGCGGCAGGGCTCATCGGGATTGATTTGGGACGACAGGTTCTTAACCGGAGAGTCCATTAACAACAAAGGCATCGATCACGATCATCGCAAATACTCGTCTCCGGCCGCCGAGACATCGCGACACGACCGATCCGGCGCTGGAAATTCTCGCCGGGCGGAGGAGATGGACCCGCCGCCTCCGGAGGTATCTGGTTGCGGGTTATGTTGTATCCTCTCGTCTAATCGAAGAAGACAGAGAAGAGGATCGAGCCATGGAAAAAGTTAGTGAACAAAAGAGAAGATGACACAAAAAAAAGGTAGCCGTCCATTTTTTTTTTTGAGATTTGAATCTAGAAATCGGAAGGTTGATTATAATAATTTACATTGAAAATGGATTTATTATATTTTCACAGATTGTTATCGTATCTTGCATGGAATGATTATCAGAGCAATATGGTGAGATTCATCGGATCTTCGACTCACTTTATTATTTTACGTTATAGTCATTCAATTAATTGCGTTTCTTTTTTCCTGTGAAATCGAATTTAGTAATTGAAATGACTTTATCACGTCTCAATTATTAGACAGACCAATTAATGAGTCAGTGTGACATTTTATTTTATTGGATATCAATATCATGCCAATCACACACACCTTTAAATGTATATATATATAATATACGAGTTTCGCATGTCATCTCAGAGATATCCACACTACTTGGAATCTAAATAAAAGATCATTATGCATTATGCGATTAGGTTTCATTGGTGTTTACAAAAATACTATTGTTTAAAATAATATAACTTAATCTCTTTGTATTTCTTTATGACCGCTTCATTGGCGGGAGAGATCCTAAATCTTAATTCCTAAAACACTCCGAAGTAGAGATGTCGAATGGATTTGGACAATTTTGTTATCGGACAATTTTACGGAGAACTAGTTCAAGATTTTCCAAGTTCGTGTAAAAACAGATCGAACGAACCAGTCCGCCACGAGTCAACCAGTTCCGGACGAGGCACGGTGAGTTTAAGTATTGTATTTAATTTACCATTTTACCCATAAAACTGATGGAATCATGAATTATCCTGTTTTGCTTTGAATTATTTTCGTCGGTTTTATCAAATTTAAATAAATCAATCATTCTTATTGTATTGCGTTGTTTTGAAATATGAACTTTTTTTCAATCGAAACGTTGTTTTAAAATAAAATATTATATTTTATTTGAATCCGCAAAACCAGTTGTTTGGTTCGTCTATGAAATTGGGCAAATCGGATCAGAGTTAAATTTTTTTCTAACACGTTAAAAAACGGAATGGAATTATTGAAATAAAAATATAAAATTTTTCCACAAAATTCGGATACAAGCCAATGACTGAATAATTACGAAAATGACCCTGATTTTTGTTCGTGTATGTCATGGATTATATAGGCCGAGTTGTGTCCTAACTGGGCAGGGCCCCTGACTATGGTAAATTTCGCGAATGCCCTATTTGACTCGCATCAATTTCTTACCTACCCCATTTGAAAAGAAGTAAAATTTTCTTTCTAAGAATACCCCACTTATAATGGTCAATGACTTAAATATCCTTATATATTAAAAATCATTTATCTTTTATTTTCCAAATAAAAAAAATTAAATTAACATTAAATTAAAACAAATTAAATACATTAAAATATATTTTTTAGAAAAATATCAGCGTTTGTGTTATTATAACATAAAATAAATTTATGAATATATTAAAAAACATAAAAATCTTTCATCACTAATTTGATATTTAAATATTTGTGATATTTTTTTAATTTGTATTTAAACATAACTAAATGTATAATATACATTTACATGTTATCAAATTTTTTTGAATCATAATTTGCAAAATTGTAATTTTAAAACAAGACACTTTTTTAATCATATTTCTTAGTTAATTAAAGATATCCATCATCTTTCGATGAAATCTAGTTAAAATTAACGATTTTTTTATACTTTCATAAAAATATAAATTCATAAATAAGTCTTTACTTAGTCGTAAAATAATCGCTTTAAAATCGTAAACAAATCGTAAAAGTATTTAAAAAAACATTTTATCTGTTCTCACGTGTTTATCTTATTATAATACAAAGTTTTTTTGTCACTTGTATACGACTCTAACGCGACTACGATACGATAAATCTTAACTCTTTTACGACTTTTTAATTTTGTGAAAATATAAAATATCTCGTTAATTTTATCAGATTTCATCGAGAGATGAAGAATACTTTTGAATAAAAATCTTTTGTCACAAATATGGTATTAAATATTTATCACATTTTGTTAAGTTTGTGTTTAGGTACTTGTTTTTTGAACAATAATTTAGAGTATTATAATTTTGAAACAAAATGCTTTGTATATCATATTTTTTTATTAATTCGAAGATATTTTCATCCATCGACAAAATATTGTCAAAGTTTAACTTAACAAATTTTTAAAAGTCGTAATTAAATCTTAAGATAATCGCACAGTGGTCGCAATTCCCGTCACGACATACAACATCCTTGTCATCTATCCCGCTCGTGGCCGATCCTTTCCAACCGGAGATCATGCCACGTGCATGTCCTCCCACCGGACGAAATCCAGGTTGTAGACGATTCCTTGTTTTTACGTTCACCATGCACAATTTCCCTTTGTACTTACCCTTGCGTATTAATTCATGAACTAAATATATATAGCTAGATGATTATAATCGATACTTGTCTCTCTTTGTAGATTATGTATCTCTCTATTGATAGGTTTGTATATTCATAAATCAATATCGCACTTAAAATATTTTTTTCAAAAAAGAATATTGGTAAATTTTAAACGTGATTTGGTTGGAAAAAGTTGGCATATATATTAAGATTGATGGTTAATTATTTCATTTTACGTATAGGATATACATATTACATACTCAATAGCCTCCATGTTTGAACAGTTAAAACCAGTCTTCTTCTTATTCCATCTCCACCTCCGTTGATCATCACCGCCGGCAAACTTTCACTCTTTCATCGACCTCGTCATGTCAGCTCGATAGTGAGCCCCGATCCCACTCACTACGTAGACCGACCCTGCTGCACACCACCGCTGCTACATCGACAGCGGCAGCCCGTTGAACCACCGGTTCGACCGCGGGTCAAAGACCAATGACCTGATCTTGAGGGCCGGAGCAAAACCGTGCATGGTGACGGCGACGATGGGAAACAGTGACGGACTGAGTGGAACAGTTACGTGACAGAAAGAAAGGGTGACAGTGCAGAAAAATGATCGGAGGATTCGACGGTGGAGGGGGAGGAAGGGAGTGCCACATAGCGGTGAAATAAAATAATTTTTAACCTAAAAGATAAACAGTACAAAGGATCAAAAGGCAAACAAACAAGACGAAGTAAAAAAAACATTTCCACGTGTGTTTTCCTTCGAACGTCCGGTTTCATTAAGGGTTTTGGTGTCTTTTCCTGTTAAATGAGGGGTAAAGTAGACTTTAGCTAAATCCTTATGTTTTTGTGGGTAGACGAGAGAAATTGCTGCGTATTTGAGAAGTTTACCCCACTGAGCTCTGCCTCCGACGAAACAAAGCTCTAGAAATCTCAGAAAAAAAAATGGACGGCGATTTGGAAATCTCCCTCGATAAGCTTCCCATCAAACGATTGGAGGTCATCGAAGAAAATGGCGCCGAACGCTTCCCCTCGTGAGCGCTCTCTCTCTCCGTGGTTTAGGTAATTTTTCAGATTCCACTACTTCTGGATCATACTCTGTGGTGTTTTGTTTCGTGTGTCTAGTGACGTCGATTACGATGACAAGAGAGTATCGTTGATTCGGAGAATAGACTTCGCCTGGGCCGTGGAAGAGGAAGACGATGAGAAGAAGAAGAAACAGAAGAAGAGCTCCAAGGAGAGCTCTGGGCAACAATGGCAGGGTATGGTCGAGAATTTGCGGTTGGCTCATCAGGAGCTCTCTGTCGTCATAGACCTTATCAATACTGTGAGTGATTTCTGTGCTAAGGAAATCCGTATGGTTTCGTTTTGGGTTTTGGATTATTAAGGACCAAACCCTAAATGTTGAAGATTCAGTGTTTGCACGAGAAGTTATGGAGGAGTTTGTGGTACTTCTGGGATCTAGGTTTGCTTTGAAATTTGCGGTGCTTGATGGAGGTTCTGAAAGGCGTTTAGGGTTATGGCTCGAGTTCTAGTTTTTTGAGTTTAGTCTCATAACACTTTCAGATGCTTTAGCTGGAACAGTCCAAGGGTCTTGCATATGTTCCTCTTAATCATTTGAGGTTCCGACATTTAGGGTTTTGGCTTGAGTTCTAGTTTTTTCATCTTAATCTTCAATCTCTTCCAGATGCTTTAGCTTTGCATATGTTCCTCCTAATCATTTGAGGTTCCCAATGATACAATCTAAACATGACATGTTGATCGTTTCTTTTGCTTCTCGTGCTTCACTGTTTTCTGTTAATTGGGTCGGATGGAATCATGGAAGAAGCAAAATCTTGTGTTCCTTCGTGTTGTGAAAAAGTAGAACTACAAGAGTACATGGATTCAAGTGGTTAACGAGATATAATACTGCTTTACTTCTAAGATATTTCTGATTCGACCTTTGTAGGTTGAAGCAAATGATGTAGCCACAGTAGCTGGTATGACCAGACCTAAGCTTTTGCCAAATGAGTCCCTCTCAGATCTCGCTGTTTCTACAGCTACCAAGCTACAAGCCTATCGGGTAAACCATATATCTTTATTTGTCATTTGGCAAATTAACTTGGCTTAAAGTTGAAAGTCTTGTTGTTTCTTGTGAGACTGTTGGCAGATGAACTTTAGGCTTGTCTTAATCATGTTTGGTGATATTATCAGTTGAAAGTGATCTTCTGAGCTTCTGCTGTCTTTCTGGTGTTGTTTGTTTTCTGCAGCAACTGGGAAAATACTTTAAGCAATCAGCACAAGCGCTGGAGCATCAAATCAACCGCGAAGCAAGGTTTTATGGTGCTCTAATCAGGTTTGTGAACACAAAACCATCCATCAGTTTGTAGTTTCTATTTTGCCATGCTGAATGTTTTTTGGAACTTTGTTCTTGAATTTCTGTTCTAAGTTACAAAAATCTGAAGGTAACTACTTAGTACTTACAAAATCGCACCTGCTATTCTTGTGGTTGATTACATGTCTTGTTTCCTGTTTGATACAAGGAACATCACATCCTAAGATATTGTGATCTAATAAATGCAGAAATCTTTTATGATGTTAGTGTTAAGCAATGTTCAGTTCGAACCGTTGAAAGTTTCCATGTGTAGGAAATTCCGAGGACTATACAAACATAGCTTAGAGAAGTTATGTTGACAATTTCTGTAATTACAGTATGACTGCTAATATTCTGAACAGTCTAGATTCTTGTAAGAGTGATTCATTGATATTTGCCAATAGATTGCAGCGGAACTGGAAGGTCAAGCGACAGCGTGTGGTAGCTTCAAGTCCCAGCAACGAGGGATTTGTCATCGATCTTTCCGACATTTCACTATGTAATTCAGCTTCTGCACTTCGCCAGTCTTCTCTCTCTACCATTCGTGTTGACCATGATTCGGCCGGTATGCTTTCCATTAATCTACCCCGAGATTCATGCCTCTCTCTTCAGTTTGGTTTTGTTGGAATTTGCTCTACCGAAAACACAAAGGTGTCTAGCAAGCAGACAGACTCCACTTCGTCTGAGGATAATGTCTCGGGTGCATCGGATAATCAGCCTGCAGGTGACGATGAATCTGTGAAAGGCTCTCATTTCCTTCTGAGGGAGGTTCATAAATCAATATTTGCCGAGCAGGTGAGTTTTCATCGTTTGTGACACTCTACTGTGCGGGTTTTTGTTTTCCTTTCGTATCATTTTCTTACTTCTATGATCTTTTTTCCCCAGTTGTTTGACATGGTAAACCGTGAAGCTTTCAATGAGGCTGTGGGATTCAACATCAGTGGAATACGAGAAAATTATTTGCAGATGAGCATAGGTCAGGGAGCTTCCTTGTTCATATCACTTTGCCCATCTGGGAAAAACGTCATCCCCGAGAAGTCGGAGTCCACAGACTTATCTATCGACCCGTCTGATGGAATGGGACGAGCTGAAGAAAAAGAAGGAAACAATCTCTTGAAGAAGTTAGGTTTCCCGAATCGTGCCAGTTGTGAAATATATTTGCAACAGATCTTCCATGGACATGCTTTCGGAAAAGCTAAGGATCAACCTAAAGCAAAAAGTACCAGAGCTCCCAATCAAACTGGAAAGGACACCTCTGGACTTCTCGACCATTTTTGCTTGTCCCTGGCGCATAGAATCTTCTCGAACAGAATTCTCGTACAGCTCGAAAGCGTGGTATTTTCTCGCATCATTAGAGATATCGGGTAATCACCATGTTGTTAAGTTCACCACTAATTCATTGCTTGCTTCATCTCCAGGTTTGTATGGTTCCATATCTTCATTTAACGTCTCACCCGACATGGAATTCTCGGACATCTTCATGGACGGTCTTCATGAATGTTCCTCCATCGATCATCCCCTTGAGAAGCTCAGAGACTGAGCTCAATGGTAAAAGGAACATCAAATCACAGTTCCGTACAAAGGTGGTGGTAATTGATGAGAGCATTACCATCGAAGGGGAATGCGCACCGAATGTTGTGGGTTTGCCCAAAGGGAGTTCCTGCAATCTGTTCTCCATGAACAAGTATGACTGCGACTTGGCAGATCTTCCATTGACAATTCTCCAACAGGTACTTTCATCGTACTGTTCTTGAACTCTAGGCACTTCAATTTATGCCTCCCAGGGCTGGGTGCAGACCCGGAATATTTATTGGGTACCTGCCTGACCTGTGAGTTATCCGAAATTTCGGGTATTCGTCCACCTGTGGGATGAGTACGAGGCCAGTGTTGGTGATTACCCCTAAGGAGGGAGGGAGTTCGGGTTTTGGCCAGAGAGTACTCGTGTCCTGCAGGTACCCGAGCTAGAGGCGGGAAGGGGGGGTGCGAGTGGTGAGTGCAGCGCGAGGGGAGGAGATTAGGGTTTCATGATCGAGCTAGGGTTTTAAAATTGGGATATTGTGTTTCTTTTATAAAGAATTACACACTCAAAAGACAAAAAAAAAATGGGGATTAGAGTTTCATTTGATTATCGACGGTCGACCCTTACCTCGCCTTCGCCGCACTATGCGGGTACTGGACCATCATGAGACCTAGGCCAAGGTCGGGTACGCTAGATAACTCAGATACAGATACCCTACCCGTGTCCCTCCTAACGCCTCCATCATTCGTTATTCACGGTTATCTTCTTAAATTCGATAGGTAGCGAGCCAAATTCTCTGTTGGCTGCTCGAGGAAGCACGGACTGTGGGCGTAAATGCAAGCCTAGACTTCTTGTCGCTCTCGTTTGAGATAGGAGAAGCGGAGAGAGTGAGCCTCGTAGCCCGAGTAGACCCTGAGGACCCTAAAGGATGCATCTCATGGTGGTTGGTGACGGAGAATGGTGCGGCCGAGGAGAAGAATTTCCGCCCCGACGCGTCCAACGAGACACCCGAAACTCGAAAATCCTTGGGTTATCTGTCACTTGATGTGTTATACTCCGCTCTCATGGATTTGATCAGCTTATGCGGTGCCTGTGGTGGTCGGGACATCTGAACAGGTAAAAGACAAGACAAGTCTTAAAGTCAGTCTTGTGTTTAGTTTCAGTTCATGTTTAAGACACATTTTTGCATCTCCGAAAGGGTTGGTTCACTTAGTTTAGGTTCTGGTCTATGAACTGTGAATTATGGACATAAATAGTATTTAGTATTTTAGAGGGCACTTGCTATATGGTGAAATTGGTCGGATCTTTAATTATCTGAAAACTTTGAAAGCTCGCAAAATATATCGTTGATAGAATAACCGTATAGCATCCAATCGTATCGCAAAAAGAAAATAATGAAGGAAAAAGCATTTATGAATAAATATAAATCATTTTAATATAGAAAAATCTCATATAAATATCCAAACTCTTTAAAATATGTCATATAAATATTTAAACAATTAATTTGACAATTTAGTATCTCAACTATTATATTGTTCTAATTTAGTACTCAAACTACATTATTGACAATCCACAAAAGATAATAAACCCTAATTTTGTTATTTTGGTCTTTTTAACTTGTAAATTATATGTAGAAAAACATTAGTGACACACCATCCAACTCAGCAAAAATTTAACAGAAAACGTGATAATAAACATCATCGAAATTGTGCATTGCCAATAATTTTTGATGTTTGGGTACTAAATTAGAATAATAAAATAGTTGAAATAATAAATTATCAAATTAATTGTTTATTATATGATATTTTAGGTATTTATATGAGATTTTTTCTTTTCATATCTAGTCTCTTCCATAATTAGAAAGACCTAACCAAACCAAATGACATTAATGTCAGCGTGCGATAATTATATTTGAATAATTAGTAGTGGCAATGCATGAATCGAATTAATTTCGTATAAATTAGTTAGTTAATTATTTTAAGTTTTTTTTTACAGAATTTTTTTGAAATATTTCTTCAATGGTGTGTCACGTGTCCTACCCAAGAAGGGAATAAGCAGATGAAAGGAGGGGTAAAATTGGAAAACTACAGAAAAGCCGAGCAAAAACAGTTTCTGATTAACAAAGCCCTTCGTTCAACAGATTCACGGTCTTTTCTTTGGTTTCCTCATCTATTGATTCGGTTCGCTTCGCACAAATCCTAGTTCTGGAAGATTCTAGCTTGAAAGCCCTAACTTTCTCAACTCAGCTTCAGGTCAGTGGTTTTTCTTCTCTAAAATCGATTTTTTTTTCTTTTATTTTTGTGCGCTTTTTATCTGCTGGTGATCTGATTGGTTTGGTCACGGTTGCTCATCCGTTGAGTTTGTAGATTTTGTGAAATTTCTTCACTTGATGATCCGAAATTCTTTGATTACGGATACTTGTAGATTTCGCAACAAAATCTAGGGTTAGAATAGAACACCGGGCGAAAATTTTGTATAATTTAGGATATTCGTCATGACAGCTTCTTCGGAGTTTTTTTTTGCGTGCTGCTGATCTATTGAGTTCGTCTCTGATTCTGGAGAAACTGGGAAATTTGTGTTTATTAAAAGTGTAATATTTTCGAGAAATGAGTATGTCAATGTTATGTAATTATGATTGTTCTTAGAGCCCCAGTTTGAAGTCGAATCTGATGATCGTTTGCATTTGTTATTGAATGATTTCAGATATAAGGGCAAAGTTAGCTTTGCTCATTTCATCCGGAAGCGTTTCAGTAACCAGATCCAATGGTAATTACGGCTTTGCAAATTAGTTTCCTTCCATTCTGCGCGCTTTTTCAAGTTCCTTGAGAAATTTCATAGTGATTTGAGCTGAGTTCTGTTTTTGTTTCTCTTGGATGATCGCAGTCAGCCTTGTTCAATTTCCATTCGTTCTTGACGGTGGTTCTGCTTGTGATCTGCACGTGCACGTACCTGAAGATGCAGTTCCCCGCCATTTTGGAGCAGAAAACTGGGTATGTGCCATCATCACTCTCCTTTTCAGATTGGATTTTAGCTCGATATGTGCCCAGTTACTCGTCCATGAACTTCTAAATCCTTTTGATGTTTCAGTCTGTTCGTTACTTCCAAGCAACTTTCTTTGTTTGAGCAATTGATGATACTTCCTCTGATTTAATAATTACAAACTGCTTGACATTATATTGCAAATGATTTGCCATCCTTGGACATCCTGTCTAGTCCTATGCTTTATATGTATCTGTTTGTGCCTCGGTTTCTATGTACTCAATATGAAAAAACCTTCTAACCTAGTATGTTTTTTTCCGTCATGGCAGGTTTCGAGGATTCTTTTGGAAGGCTGCTAGAATAGGTAGGTCTTTCTCCCATTACTACTAAAGTACACTCGTTCGTTTCTTCTAGGAGCTTAGTTTCGTATTATATCTGTCTCTTATGCAGCTATGCTTATACATTTATGCACAGAAAAAACCGCACACAATAGCCCATGAGAATAGACAAACTGTAGGTTCTCTAGTAGGAGCAAGAACCGACTGATGGTCATATGATCATGCAACAGTATGTCAAAATAGAATAACTGAAAGCTTTGTAAAGCAAGAACCCATAAGTCCTAAATCACATTGCTGGCCTCCTGTATAGGCATATGTAGTAGCATGGACATTCGGGTCAATAGTTTTTTTTTTGGAATGGCTGTCTCAGATAATGTCATCCTAATAGCGCTCGGATATGTTCAACGAACGTTTGTGCAACTAACAGGTGAACGATTGAGCCCGTGGGTATCGGTTGGATGCTTCATGATGGGCGTTTCGATTATATTCTTCTGAGGTAACCCCCGCTCGGATATATTTTCTTTTGTTCTGTCTTTTAGGTTCTCTTCTCTTCATGGTGAAAACTCCATTTTTGTAAAAAAAAAAAGGAAAGCAAGTGAAGAAAGGGGATGAGAAATCTGCCTTTGTGCTTGTGAATCTTGGGATGTGCTTTGGCGAAAACTATTGCATAAGAGGGGTTTATTTTAAGAAAAAATCGCATATAAATATTTGTACTTTTACAAAATTTCTAAATAAATATGTGTATAAATTTTTCAGATAAATATCTGAACTTTTTAAAATTTTCACATAAATATCCAAATTTTTAAAAATTTACCAAATGAAACAATATTCTTTGACGGTTAAGCCATCAATTATGGACAGATTCTGTTACAAATTTAACGTCGTTGATGGATATTGGTTTCATTTAGTAAATTTTTAATAGTTTGGGTATTTATGTGGAAGTTTTGAAAAAATCAGGTATTTATTTGAAAATTTTATAGTTAAAGTATTTATTTAAAAATTTTATAAAAGTTCATGGTGATTTTTCTTTATTTTAATTTAATTTATATTTTGTATTTATGTTTTGATTGATCCCTCTGGGGGTGTGTTGATATTTGGACACCATATGTGAGACATTTATTGTTGAAAGAAAATGAAAGATTAAGTCATTTGAATCGTGGTTGTAAATTATAGGAATTTGGTTTATTATTATTATTATTTATTGTTTTGATTCAGTTTTTTTATGAAAAAATATATCTATTAAATTATTATTTTTGGTCTCTGTTTCGTTCGCATCTAGATCGAGTTTGGGTTTGATAAAGAACATTTATTCTAAACAATTACGGTTTTGATTAATTTAAATCTGATTCATCGATAAATTCGATGAACTTCAAGATTCGTATATTATTTGATTTTGTTAGATTTTGAGCATGGGTGTGCATCCCGATTTTGCGTCCAACTTTAATGCGCTCACGATCTCTTCCCAAGACTGTCTTATAGCTCACCACTTAAATTAGTTATTAGATTAAAAACCACAAAAATAAATCCAAGACATGAACGATTAGTTAAAAAATGTAAATATTGGCATAAAAGGAAAAAGGAAGAGAGCCTAGGTGGATACAAAACGACGTCGCACAAAAAAGCTCCCAGAGTACCTTTCCCCAACGGTTCAGTCACTCCGCAGATTCGTCGTCTCTCGCTTCCATCGAGTAAGAAAGAAATCTCTCTTTCGTGACCTGCAATTTAACGAAGCTGAAGGATTCGCATGGTCAATTCTCCCATGGATTCAAGCGCCACTTCTAGGGTTTTGTCAACGCCTCCGCGTCGAGTTCTCGATTGAGGTTTCTGATTTCCTGCCGTGATCGATTTTCTCTTCCTCTTTTTTTCGATTTTGGGTCTCGTACAATCTGAATTACGGTCCTCTGTCTCTTGATATTCTCGTATTGTCGGACCTGGTAGGTTTGTTTTCGGGAATCGAGAGTATTAGTGATGATATGTTACTTCTGCGTAGACCAGTTGCTGTGTAGTCGACAGATGCTTGCAAATTTCGGTCTATATGATGTAATGGGATTGAATTTTTTTCCTTTTGTGATTTTAGATTCCGTATGGAGTCGCGTTCTTCGCATGCGTAGACTTGGGGATCCGTTGTAATGAGACGAACTGCAGAATTTGGCATCTGTTTTCGTTTTGTGGATTCAAGCTTCATATAGCGTGTTTTTCTAGGATTTTGGTCGATTTTACTCGTTGGCGAGTCAATTGCATTGTGAAGAACTGGAGAATTATAGTCACAATTGAGTGTTTGTTGTCATTTCTGCGAAAAATGTCCGGTGGCACTCCCGTGGGTGCTGGTGGATACATGAGGCAAAGGCATAGCCAAGGTTATGCATCTGGTGGGGACGATCTCGAGGACGATGCTTGCTCGAGATCTCAGCCTCTCTCACCCGTGAGCCATAGAAGTAAAACGTGGGTCGAGTTTCTGGAGAACGGGCTTTGGATTGCCTCTGCATTTTTCATTGTCTATTTTGGAGACCGGCACTCCAACATGATTCACATCCTCCTGCATGATGTCCGGATAAGAAGGTAATATAATTTCTTGAATGGTTCTTTCGTTAGCTTCATGGCTGCCTGCTTCTTTTGGTGTTTGAATCTATCCTTTTTAGGTCCATCAGAAATCTTCTCTGGCTCTTACTTCAGCATTGAGGTTTGAATCCAACATTTTCTTTATCATGGTGGATCTGTAATCAATTTAAAAGAAATGAGCTGAGGATTAATGCAATGATAGGAAAAAAAACTTTTAGGAACAGGAAAGCATGGGGGTACCGGAAAGTTCTTATAAATCAAATGTTATGATTTTCTTCCAAGCTTGCTTAAGGAGTTTGTAAGTTGAAGGAGATATTGTTTTTCTTTGCTTTGAATTCTTGACGAGGATTTTAGGTTTAGTTCAGTAAATTTTCAGTTTCTTTTCTTAATGAGCCTTAGGTAGTTACCAATTATGGCATGTGCACTAATCTCGGTGGCTATTGAAGGCCGCTGATGTTAGTTGTTTGGAACATGTTGATTATTTCTTCACAGTTCTGTTCATAAAACTTGCATGAGTGATATTTTGTAAAGAACCAAGAATAGCTTCCGCAATCTTGACAAGCTGCTTAATTGGAACGAGTGGACATGGTGATATGATCATATGAATAAGATGTAGCTAGAAACATTTGGAAAAGATCATATTGCGTAACAGTGGAGTTATGTTTTTCTCTAGATTAAGCATGATCTCACTCTGCTCTAGAAAACTTTTGTCATCAAACTCTGGCTAATGAGGATCGGTGTTCTTTTGTACGGATCATTTTTCTTTTTCCAATCAATTATAAATTAAGAGCATCTTTCTACCTAAAGATTTGCACAAACCAGAAGATTACTTTGATCTTCTGGAAAATGGAAATCCATTTAAAGAGAACACATATATGCGTCTTCCTTGTCAGGACGCCATTGTATCTGGGGATGATAGGGATAGGTGTGAACATTATAATCTTAATATACGAGAACATGTTATCATGGAGCATCAGAAGGTTCGAAGAGAAATGGGAACTGTGGAGTATCTCTGCTTTGCCTTTCATTACCCTCCTCGGCCTCATCTCCTTTTGCCTGTAAGAAAACCTCCTCTTTCCTTTTTCTCATTAAGTCTCTCTATCAAATGATATTCATATCTGTTTGACAAATACATGCATGGCCTTTCACAGACTCTCCTACGCGTTGTGGCCTATTTGGGGCTTCTTGGCTCTTCCTCTTCTGGTACGAACTTAATCCACCGTATACGTATAAACATTGTTAATATATATATATATATATATAATGCTTCTTGATTAAATCTTATTATCTGATTGATGTAAATTGGTATTTGTTGTTGTGTTCTGTCATTGCAGTTCACATTGTTCATGGCTTGTCTTGTTGTGCTACCAAATCTTGTGATCATTAAGCTCAGGCCGCAGTACGACGATTTCCGCATAGATTGATCTCAACCATCTCATCTCGTGGGACTCGAGTCAAGTAAGATAGTTTTTGGGATATCGATAGCTTTTCGCCTTGTGGGTTTATCAGAATTTGTAGGGCACCAAAGGGGTTGATTTTCGGGTATATAGAGGTAGATGAACTCAATATTGGATTTGGAATTCTTTTGTTTTTGTTGTGAGATTGGTTCATGTCTTTGTTTTAGTGAAAGCTAGTTTCCTTTGGGTCTCTCTTTCATTTAACATCTATTGAAGAAAAACACAGAATATTTTAAAAAGAAAAAAGAAAGGAAGATTGTTTAAATTGTTAATATATATATATATATATATAATGCTTCTCGATTAAATCTTATTATCTGATTGATGTAAATTGGTATTTGTTGTTGTGTTCTGTCATTGCAGTTCACATTGTTCATGGCTTGTCTTGTTGTGCTACCAAATCTTGTGATCATTAAGCTCAGGCCGCAGTACGACGATTTCCGCATAGATTGATCTCAACCATCTCATCTCGTGGGACTCGAGTCAAGTAAGATAGTTTTTGGGATATCGATAGCTTTTCGCCTTGTGGGTTTATCAGAATTTGTAGGGCACCAAAGGGGTTGATTTTCGGGTATATAGAGGTAGATGAACTCAATATTGGATTTGGAATTCTTTTGTTTTTGTTGTGAGATTGGTTCATGTCTTTGTTTTAGTGAAAGCTAGTTTCCTTTGGGTCTCTCTTTCATTTAACATCTATTGAAGAAAAACACAGAATATTTTAAAAAGAAAAAAGAAAGGAAGATTGTTTAAATAGACGTGATCTCTTTCTATATTTATGGCTACCCGCTATATTTTTATTCTATACTAATAGGTTGGTTGCTGCTTAGTCGAAAAAGATATTTTTTTTGGGCTGGTAACTTGGTAAGGTACGCTAGTTACAAACAGCGGTCGGTATTATAGTTTTAATTTTATTAAAAACCTATTTTTTTTATTTAGTTTTTTTAAATACTAGGTATTAATCTATGCGGGTAGCCAGAACTAAACATATATATATATACAGATTTTAAATAATTTTAATATTAATTTTAAATTAAAATATAATATATTTTATTTGTTAATTTATAATTTATATTATTAAATCAAAATATTTAAAAATAAATATTGAGATGACGCTATGATGTCTTTTTTCCATTTATAATATAGAATCAAATTATTGAAATATAAAATATGAGGGATTTTTAAAAAAATCATAATAAAATATTGGTATAATATTAAATTTATATTCCATCATCAATATTTAAATTTTATAGATATCTATTTAATTCTATAAAATTCAAATCCATGAGATACGACACTAATCATATGACCTTTTTATTTCATTAACGTATAAGTCATTATATTTTTTTATAGATTAAGATTTGGTCATATTTATCCTAAAAATTTAAAACTAAGATTATGTCACAATTAGATAATTTCATTTAATTCAATATGTATTTTATTAAATTTGTTTTTTATTTTTAGTATCATTTCAATTGGTTTTATCTGTTTTTTTACCGTCCTAATCCATTTAGTTCTCCGATATAAAAATTAATTTAGTTTTCATATATGACAAATCTATCCTCGTCTATACGACTTGATCTAACTTATCTTGCTTGATCCAACTATGTATTTTAAAATCCGATTCAATAAATCTTTGTTTCAAAATAAAAAAACTATAGATACCTAACATACTCTTACATATATCAAAACTGTTTTTTTTCTATTTTTGTTGGGATAACATATATCAAAAGATTTTTTGGAACCAATTAATGAAGCAAAACATTTTTTCCTAATTATAATACATTATTAAACTGTGTAAAAGAATATAGATACATAGAGAGAGAAAGCAGTATTTTTTTTGTTCAGTTTTGTACTCCCCTCTGGCCTCTCCATCCTTTCACTACATTCCTAGGGTTATTTAGTCTTGTTCGGTGGAGAGGAAAAACTCCTCGATGACAATGATCAAAAGTAAATTCTATTTAATTTTGATAAAAAAAAAAAATCAATATAGGGTGGTGGCCATGAATTATTTAATAAACTATCCTAATAGAAAAATTCATAATATAATATTTACCCATTAATTACAGAATGAGATAGATTTTAAATGAGATATACTTATTCATATTACTACGTTTCTATCAATTTATGATAAAAAGAAGAAGACAAAGGCCTACACCATAACTCTGTTATACATGGTAAAGAGATCGTTATAGAAGAACTCTACTTTAGAACCAAAATAAAAGACGGTCTATATGTAATATAAATACATTTGATTATTTTGTTTGGCCGTTTTCAATGAGTTAGGTATTCGGGTCACATTCGAGTCATTTACTAAGTACGTAGTTTAGAACGTTGTTACGCAACGTTTCATATAGAAAAATCGTGAGGGGATTGCAATGAAAAGGTGATCAACTACACATTTCAGATGGAAACTTCTTGAAGGGTCATAAGGACGTGGAGGCACGAACGACATTGGACGAGCACGTGAAAATCAAAACTATGCAAATTCCTAATCAACCGATTTATTAATTTTGTATTTTGCGACATTATATAAACTACCAATTTTGTGTTTGTTTTTAGTGCAAATTAATACAAAAATAAAGTTTTAATCCATGCATTTTAAATATCGTATTATATTTGTATTTATCTATGTGGCACAACTAGTTTTGCGGGATACGGGTTATATACATCACAATAATATTGTTGATATTTGAAAAAAATAACTATTTTTAAAAATATTTTTATTGTAGAAGGTAAATTATCTTGATAATTTTTTCCCTTTCTCCTGGGCAATCCGTAGTTACAGTCGAACCAAGTCACGTGCAGGTCCTTGCTAAAATCTGCCGAACGGGGCGACGACAGTTATGTGCTTGCGTTCGACAGTAGGAGGACCTTATCCGGTTCCACCTGAGCTGGTTTCAGTACATAGGATTACACGATAGTGCATAATACGGACTAATATAGATTCGTTTTAAAAAATCCAATTTAATTTGTATCAATGGATTATGATGTTATGAAGTGTCTCTCGGCATATAAAACCCCGTTTTAATATTTAACTGAGAATTAAATCTCTGTTTTTTTTTAATCAATTTTTATGTTAGAAAGTTAGGATCTGTACTTGTATCAAATACGAATACGTACATTTGTGGATATACCTTTCTTTATTTTCTGTGGGCAATGAGTTAATGAGGTGATTAAAATGCTAATAATGGAAGCTGAATAAGCATTTTTTTTCTAATAGAATCAGTTTGTAAACCGAATTAAACAACGTTTAGGGAAAGAAGACAGCTTGTTTTTAACAACAAAAAA